ATGTCCCGGGCCATCGTGGTCCTGGTCTACTTAGTCGAGGAGGTAGTCGACCAACCTGACAGAAGGATCCTTGTCGGCAGCCATGGGTTGCTTCGTCAAGGGGACCTTGTAGACCTAGGATGGGTATTTGCCTAAGGGGACAAATTTGAATCCACATTAGCTTGCAGAGAGCTTTGTGCCTATCAATCAATATCCTATTGATTCATATCTCAAGGATTTAACGCCATTAAGGAGCGTATTGGCTATGGCCATAACCGGTATCTGTGGTGCCATTTGGCGGCAAAACCACTCGGTTCAGAGGGCCCGGGTCATAACCGTTTACCTGCAGTGCCATTTTGACGGCGAAACTACGGTTAGAGGACACGTACACGTCCTTACTGGCAGAGATTGTTTGAGAATGAATCCTAGTGATATTTTCGACTAGGCATTTGGCTCTTTGTGAGCTGAAGTAAACTTAATTTGTCCGCCTCGGCAAACTATTGCGGAGGGTGGATGGATTTTGCTTTAAGTTTTGATGGATTTATTTCTATTTTTAAATATTTTTGGATTTTGCATTTTTGGATTTTTGAGTTCTGGAATTTTTGTGGAGTTTGGATTTTATGGGTATTTGAGTGGAGCTTTGGATTATTTGAAATGGACTTTGGATATTGGAGAGATATTTGATTGGGACACTCCGGTTGAGATCCTGCATTCAACACGGCCATCAACGGGGTGTTGGGGGTCATTTCCATTTGTTGATTGAACCTTGTCAACTCAGACAAGCTATTGACTGAGGATCGGTTTTTTCGTAGGCTTTGTGCCTTTGTTCATTGAATTTTCTTTGTTGAAAGCCTTGAAGGTCGAATATGAATGTATAAGATAAATATTACGGTCGACTTCATGACCGCATATTTATCCGATGGTTTGAACCCTGTCTACTTCTATTTATCCACTAAGGAGGATCGAGTTTTCATAGGCTTTCTACCTTTTGTTTAGTGAATTCTTTTGACTTGTAGGATGTTGAAGGCCTAATATGAATGTATTGAAACAAATACACTGGTCGCTACAATCGTGTATTGTCGTTTAAGGTTCGAACCTGTCGACTTCTATTGGTCCTATAGAAAGGATCAGGTTGAACTAGAATCACTTATCGACCCGGCAGCATCCCTAGGCGTCACGGTGTAACTAATACACCACGCTCGCCGGGCCATGCGGTTTTGGAGGCATTTTTAATTAAACCCTGTCGACTCTATTGCTTAGAAGGATGGAGTTTCGTAGGCTTTATGTCTTTTGTTTGTGAAATTTTCTTGAATTGAAGGCCTTGAAGGCTAATTATGAATGTAATAAGATAAATATTCTGGTCGACTTCGTGACCGTATATTCATCCAATGGGTTGAACCCTGTCTACTCCTATTTGATTAGTTAGGAGGTCGGGTTATTTAACACACACAACGGAAGCGAGAATCTGAGTTTAGGAGATTTCGTACCTTCGCGGGGTTGTCGGCGGTGTCGGTTCGAGGATCAAGGGAGAGAGGTATTATTTTTTTTTTTAAATTATAATTAATATCAATTAATTATAATTAATTAAGAAATCATTTTTAATTAATTATTTATAATTAATTAAATTTAATTCTAATTAAAATTAGTTATAATTAATTAGATTAATTATAACAACTTAATTAAAATTAAGTGTAATTAATTGTAATTAATTAAAGATAATTATTATAATTAATTAAAATTAATTATAATTAATTAAATTAATTAAAACAATTTAATTAGAATTAAATATAATTAATTATAATAATTATAATTAATTGAAAATAACAATTTTAATTAATTATATTTAATTAATATAATTATAATTAAATATATACAATAATAATAAAATAACACTTCCTCTCTCTTTCTCTCAATTCGGTGGATTCACTGGATTTGGCCGTGGAAGCTTGTGTGAAGGGAGAAAGTTACCTTCACAGTCGTCGGGCTGCCGTTGCTTCCGAACAAAATGCTGTAACTTCCAATCCACGGGAAGGGAAAGTCGTTTGAGGAGCGACGTCGAACAGCCAAAAGGAGCCAAAGAAGCCGCGGGAAGGGAGAAAGTTACTTTCACTGCCCGCGAGTTCCCGTTGTTGGTTCCGCACAGAATGTTGTAACTTTCGGTTCAGCAGGAACGTAGCGGCGTCGGAGGGAAGGGAAGAAGCGCACGAAAGGTAGGAGGTTATCTTCACGGCCGCGAGCTCCCTGTTCTTGCCTCCGATCAAATGTTGGCACTTCCGGTCCGACAGGCAAGGAAAGTCGTCGACAGAGCAAAGTCGAACGGCGACTGAGGAGTCGGAGAAGCCGCGCGGAAGGGAGAAGCTTATCTTCACAGTCGGCGAGCTCTTGTTGTTGCTCCCGATTAACACGTCGTAACTTCCGATCCTTCTGGAAGGGAAAGTCGGGGAAGGCGCGAAGTCGAACCAGCAAAGGAGTCGAAGCAGCGACGTTTGTAATCTCTGCACCTTCTGCGAAGCTACGAAGCCAAACAGCAACGAAGGAGGAAAAGTGGCGGAAGAGAAGAGCGGACGCGTGAGCCAACGAAAGAGTCGAATGAGGCCTTCGGCCTCATTTTCTTTTTCTATTTAACGACGCCCATGGGTCGTGTAGACGACGTGGGAGAAAAGCGACGCGAGGTATGGCCTCGCCGTGCGAAGAGCGGCGACGACGTGCGGGGGCAGAGAGTAGGTGAGCAAATGATTTGATTTTTTTTTTGTTTCTTGGATACGGGTCAACATTAAATAAATATGACATAAAATCCTATAATAATTAATTTACTTGGATTGCTCATAAAATTAAAAATATATTTAAATTCATTAAAAACTTTACTCAAGCGAATGTAAATTTGTCACATCATATTATATTAGATTGTTGTTTGAATTTGAAAAAAATGATTATTTATACACAAAATAAAACTTAAAAGTTATTGAAAAAATCATTATAAAATAAAGCAAAGAAAAATAAACTCAATGTTAATTAGATATTAAGCTTTTAAAGTAATTTAATTTAAAATAAAAGAGAAGAGATGGCTTAACTTGTTATCTATATAATATACTTTAAAATTACAACTATTACTTCGGACATGCGTGTCAGACATGCATCTATGCTACTTTTTTTCTATTAATTGGACATGCATATGGTGTGTCTAATGCATGTTTGACACATGTCGAACAAGTGCACATGTCCAACACGATACGCTTCATCATTACAAAGTGTCGGTGCATCATTAGTTGTTGAGTGTTCATTTAATTTTTGTGGTTTATTTTATTATTATAGACTTTAGTTTTAGTTTTTATTTTAAACTCATGGCTAGTATTTTACTTTTGAGAATGAGTTTTTCCTCTTATTTTTGAACTAAATCATTTTTACTTTGGTTCCCTACTTTGGTGACGACTTTGGTTTAAATCTTTGGGAATGTTAGATATTATTGACCTATGATTTGTTGTTGTTTAATTCCATTCTGATTTCTACGTAATGGGAATATTGGCTCTTTCCACATAGTTCACCCACTTCATGTGATTTTAGCATCTAGGAACATTGTTTAAAACTGCATAATAAGAGGAACGCCTTTGAATAATTTTGAAAAAAAAAATTCCATGTGGCATACGCCTCACTTTGGATTAAAGAGGCATAAGCCTTAGAGGGGTTGAGGCATGCTTTCGCACAATTTGTAAAAGGCACATGCTAAAAAACTAGGGTTTAGACGTGTTTTTGCCTTTATGTTGAATTAAGAGTGGGATTTACTCATTGTTAAGATCTTACTTTGACTTATTATAATCTTACTTTAGTATCTTACTTTGATGTTAGTATATTAGTTATTATTTCATTTTTAGTATTAATTTAATATTTTAATTCTGAGGCTTACATCTCAGCTCAAATACAAAATACCTCAATTCTCAATTGCATAATTTCAACCTTTGCCTGGGATTGTAATTTTTTTGTGTTTGATGTTGTTACAAAGGTTGTGAAAATCAAACCGGACAACGAACTGTAAGGAGAGGCTCACAGTTCGATGGTTCAACCAGGATCGAACTGCAGTATAACCAGATGACGTAATAAATAGTAAAATTATTCAAATAGAATATAAATTATGTAATAATTTAAATTTTAACAAAGAATACATAACTATTTTGATTAAAGCTCATGAACAAGCTTGATTAAAGTTCAACATAAAACTTATTAAAAAGCTTGACTAACCATTAATGTGAATATAATAAAATTAAAAAACATAAGTTTCCCTCACTCCACCTTGAGGTCAAGGTGCAAGGTGGCTCTTTGGGAGGGGAATATTGTTAGACCAGTCCCTAGACTAGTCCAGCCAGGATCAGCTTGGGTCTACAGGGGGCGAAACAGGGGGTTCTGTCCTAGCCTAGCACACGCCCTTGAGGTTGGGGTCCACAAGCACAATTAAGGGGAATTAAGGGGGGGTCTAAGAGGAAAATTTCAAACATAGAGGGTTGTTTGGTAATTAGGGGGAATTAATGTTTGCTTAAGAGGGAATTACTTCTAGGGTTGATTTTTCATCTCTTGTTTGGGCTGAAATTTGCGTGTTTGCCTAGGGTGTTTGGGCTCTAGTCGCCAGTTAGAGATTTGGGAGAGTCGGATCCTCCTCTCCAATTGAGGATCCTATCGTATCTTGCTTTTCTTCGCATCATATTTCAATAAAAAGTGTTGTGATTATTCTTCTTCTCAATTTTCTCTTGTTCATCCGCTGTATTTTGTGAAAAGAGCCTGTTTCCCATCAAAATGTCACGTGATTTTCTATGGTTTCATATTTTCAAATATTTTTATGTTATTCCTGATAGAAGGTTATTGAATTATCATATATGTTCATATTTAAGGTTCTCATTTTAAGAAATACAATTTTCTCCAGATTAAAAGTATGAATTTGTGCATTCCATCCCAAATTCGAATTAAGAAAAATTTAGACCCTAAGAAAACTTTCATCATTTTGTAAATGCATAACTGCTGTAAAGTTCTGGGCATTGGTACTTTAGGGTAATATTAATAACTAATGCAATTTCACAGATCATCTTAGGCATTGCGGTAACAAAAAGGGCCACCAAGATATATAAAATAAATGCACAATTTTAACAATATTTTGTTGCTAATAGCAGCTTGATTATGAACCAGCGATTTGCAAAAGATATACAAATTTGAGATTGTTTTGCTCCTGTTGCTAGCTTGATAAGCGGCCTCCTATACGATGAATTTGTTGCTTGAAACTTACATAACTAAGAAAATTTCAGGCTTAATTTGACTAAGAAATACACAATATTTCAACTTTCTTCCACCCAATAAGTTTTCTATTTAGGCAAAATGAAACTGCTGAAATGCATTTAAGGAAATGCTGCAGTTTCAACATTCCTGCAATCTCATAGATCTTTAGCAAGCTTACAAGGGTACTCCTATCATGTTTATGTTGACCTATGTTGCACCGATATGGATACGACACGATACGAATACGGGACACATCAATTCTTAAAAATACAGGATATAGCGCGGACACGATATTATAATTTATAAATCATACAAGAAACAAAAATCAAAGCATTACAAATGCAAAATAATTTGATGTCATAATATCCTATTTTCTAGTAAACTAACATCAATGTAAATGGCTCAAAGAGATTGCATCTACATCAAGAGTGTATCAAGCTAGGCCAAATCAAGCACGAATGGATTCAAATGTTGTTCTCGTTAAAATTTAGAGAAAACCTAAGTTTGCTCAAGTAAATTAGCAAAAAATATTCATTCAGTTGTCATGCTCTAGGCATCAAAAGCCAAAACAATAAAAATTTTAAATTTCTTTGATGAATTTTTTCCTCATGAAAAAAATTAAATAAGACAAGATTAGAAGACAACGGAAAAGAGTGAGAAGACCGGAAACAAGTGAGAAGACAAAAGAAATAAATAAGTCGCACTTTTAAAGAGATTACCAGTGGTTGAAAAGCATCAGCTGCAGATAGCTCCAGTTGTGTTCTCAGTGCACGTTTGTTCTCTGCTTTACCCTGAAGATCATCAGCACTGTACTGGACTGGAAGAATTATATCAGTAGAAGGATTCCAAGAATCTGTATCAATTCCATTAAGTACTCCAACAAATTTCTTTGAATGCAGACGTAAAGTTCCATGGAGGCCCCGCCCACCCTGTTATATGAATAAAAAACGATCACAATCCAAGCTATTATAAGGAATGAAGGATGGATTGAGGATGGCAGTGAGAAAACCGGAAACAAGAGAGGACAAAAGAAAGGAAGCAAGCAGTGGGGAGTGATAAATGATTTAAGGGATCGAGAAAAGGTTGAGCAAAAATTTGCTTTATCATTTATTATGCTGCAACAGAATTGCATTGAAGGCTAGTATATCTTCTGAGATGAGTATAATGATGCTTAGTTGGTGAAGGCAAAGCCAGTGAAAGAAATATTATAAGATGAATTCCACAGAGGCAGACGGTAGGGCAGAGGTAAGAATTGGCTGAGAGAGACAGAGATCAACCATGATGAAGGTTATAAGAAAATAAGAAAGATGTAAAATAGTAAAATACCATCACTCTAATGCAGCCTTAGAGTTAAAAGTATATCAAGACAATTGAAATGATGCTCGGTAGTTAAGTACATAGTAGATAATACTTAAGAGGAGAAAGGAAACAAAATGAAAATAGCTTGGGAAATCAACACTCGTATTGTGCGATTGTTATGGATAGATGTTTTATATCAAACATATTTACCTCGGGAGTGCACACCTCTTGCGCATACGTGGGGGATACTGTTGTAACAATGTTTGAGAAGACTATTGCACCCTGAAAGAACATTAGGTCAGCTTTTATGCGCTTGTCATGCTCTAAGTATAGACTTCTCCAATTACCTTAAGAGGATTAATTCTGTCAGGGGCTGAATTATCTTGCATCCTATCTGGTCTATTTAGTCGTTGAATATCAAGACCGCAAGATGACAACTCTGAAAAATGGGCCGTGCCTTGATATTCGAAGTTGTGACATGTAAAGCAGATTCGAGAAGAATTAAACCCTTTAGCTGCATAGATATCCCAATAAAGAGGTGCCTGAAAGTAAAAGTCCGTTCATTCATGATAGAAATGCCAAAAAAGAAGCCAATGAAGTAGTATTCGAAGCAATAACTAACAATGCGAAATTAGGGGCCTACAACAAAAGCTGTTTGCCAGTCATGGCAGTGGATTATATCAGGTTTCTTCCCAGCCTGATAAAGCAATTCAAGTGCAGCTCGGCTGAAGAATGAAAAACGTTTAAAATCATCATGCTCTCCATAGAATTCCCCTCTCCAGAAGAATTTTGATGGATGATGAGGCTCTATGAAATAGACAGGAAGACCTGCATTTTTCAGTTCAATTGATCATAAAAATATTTCTCTGCCAAAGACATTTTTAAGCAGAGACAGTGCACGTTAAAAACCTTCAACAATCCCGACCCAAATTCTATTTTTGAATAGCTGCCCATCAAAAAAGGATTCTACTGTCACATCTAGGGCCTGCGAGTGTAGAAGGCTTAAATTTTAAATAACGCAAACCACTTTTTTAACAAAAACTAGGGGAAAGCAGTATATAAACGCTAGGCAATAAAGGCATATACCTTCAGCTCAATAATCTGGTCTTCCTGCAGGCAATCATATTTAGGAAGAACAATTTCAACAAGATGGCCCTTCCTTTGTAATGCTTTGCTTAATCCTAACACAACATCTCCAAGACCTCCAACCTAAAAATAACTTCAAAAGTTTACTTGGAAATAAAGAATATTCATCTTTTCAAGGATTTTTAAAATTTTGTATTTTCTAAATTGAAAAAAAGGAAAATTGCATCTAAATCTTTGAACTTTGCGGGCCATTCACATGAATCCATATTTTTAAAATCAGGGGGCTTCACTTTACCTAGACCTCTATATGGAACCGTTCTGTTAAATACTCACTTGTTTTGATGAAATGGTAAAAATAACCTCCAAATGGTAAATAATAAAAAGTAAATACATCATATTTAGTTTCAATATCTAGAACAATTTTATACAATCTTCAAAGATATTGCACTTATAAAAGCATTCATTCATGGGATTGGAAATTATATTGTCAAATAACTGACTTAGCTTTTCAATTGCATTCGTCAAGGAAGTAAATAATACAGCCTGCAGAAAGCTGTTAAGCAACACCTTATTAGCACTAAACTAACAATTTGATACGCCTTGGTATAAAAAACAGCACACGAACAGGATGAATTCAGCACAAACAGATTTTATTTTTAGAAAAACAAATAATAAGAAGCAAGATACAATTGATCCTCAATTTGAGAGGAGGACTGATCTCTCCGAAGTCTCAAGACGCTGCTGGAGACCAAGCACCAAGACACTAAGAAAAACAGAACTCTCACAAAACAATAGCATAACCCTAACTCTCCCCTTTCTATCTTATTCAAAGCCTTCACAAAAATCAGCCCTCAGGATACCCCAATCAACCACCCGCCTCCATCTTGCCTAAACCAAAATTCAACTTTAGGTAAGGGTTCTCCTTCAATCAACCGCCCCCTCCATCATGCCAAAACAAGCTTCTCATTTCAGCTGTGGGGCCCATTAATCAGCCGCCCCCTCCTCTTGCCTAATCCCCTCTTCCCCTTTCACGCTGTGGGCCCATGGGCCTGATTTGCTGGTTGGGCGGAACAGCTGGGCCTGTGTCTGGTGTAAAATAGGGGCCGGCCCCAGTTTTAGTCCGGCTGGACCGGTTTATCACAAGTATACCTCTAGAAGTATCAACCTAATAAATTGCCTAATAAATTGGATTTGCGCTTTCCTGATTAGAGATGAGAGAGAAAAGCAACACAGCCATGATTTAAGTAGAGAAAGACAATCAGATACAAATGAGTCGTGCATAAATATCTGCTGATGTGTTGCAGACAATTTTCTTAATCAGTTTAAACCAAATAATTAGGTTCAAGCTATTAAGATTGTACTTAGCAAAATTAACACAAAGTCTTGATTAAACTAATTAGGACTACATAGATAAAGATTCATTAAGACAAATTAGATACAAACTCATCAAATATTTGCCATTCGCCTTCCAAAATATAAAATCGAACCATCAAAATGCTCTGTATAACCATTTATGACATTGCCAAACCTCATTGATTGCATCTCTCAAAAGACTTGAGCGATGAACCAACTAGGTCTCCCTCGAACTTCTGACCACATGATGTCCCTTGCACCAGTGCACCCATGCCACAACTAAACCTTCCTTGCATAGTTCATGTAGCACAACACATTATTTAGTCATGTTTTGTGCATCATTGAGTCTCCCACGCCCTCAATCAGCCACAATCCTTGCGACCTACCACAACAAACGCCTCTAGCGACTACACCGAAGAGTTAGAGACCTCACCAACTCCTTCCTCTATAGAACCCACAAACCTCCATAAAGAACAAGAGGTTAGAATCACTGGAGGATAATGCCATGAGAAGATCAAAACCTTCTCTACTACAATACTATAGAGACTATCGAAGAGAAGTCAAAGGACTACTACAAAGGTGAATTGCTGAAGATTCAATGATCTTTGATTTAACAAATTCAAAAAACCTTGCACCATCAATCATTTAGTTCATCTGGGATTGAAGATAATCCTTCACCATTGGACATTGGTTTAGTTTGGGTTTTCATCCTTCTGTTGACCATTGATTGGATATAGGTTGTGACTTTTCACGATTTTGTGACCAAAAGTCCAGAGGTGATCTCGAACCCCTGCTTGATGACGATCATAGTCGTAGCAATCTCTGTGTTCTGAAATTATCAGTGCATGTGCTATCTTGTTGGATGCTACTATTACTAATAGACCAGTCTGCGAAAAAGAATGCTGTCCAACAGGTTGTCCCATAAACTGCAGCTGACTTAATAAAGGGAAGAAGATGATAAGTTAGCATCTTTGCTATTTAATTTTTCAATCTGAATTTCTCATTTCATAAATCTCGAGGTGAAAACCTCGTAAATTATAACGAAAACTTGCTGCCAATTTGATAACCAGCCAGTTTCCAATAATTCAAAAAAAGATTCTTACATCTTAAGGAAATTAAAGTTCAAATATATGCCAGAAGGTGACCAAGAGAAAAAGCATGGGCTATTGGTCATAAAACAAAACAAAAAAATAATGTTGATGTAAAGAATAAGCGAAACTATTAACTGTAGAAAAGTAGAAAAAGAACAGCAATAAACAGTATTTGAAATTCTATTGCTCGATTCTGTACAAAATATTGAAGTATTTCTATACTTCTCCAAAAGGCTTAAAATTGAAATAAATCAAAGCTATTAAAAAAAAAAAGTAAAAAATCCACGAAGAGGGAAGGCACAAGGATTGCAATCTAAGAGCCCTATGAGGATCAATCCAACAATTAGAACTCTTAATTTGTGTGCTCAATGATCCCTATCAAGATTGGTTGACATTTAGGTCCTCCAAGCCTTCAACAGTATCCCTTAAATTAAATGATATAAATCTATCATTTTAAGTTTACTTATAATATTTCAATATATTTTAACATGGGGATGCAAAGGTCTTTGGTGAGAATGACTACAAGTTAATTTCTTATTCACGCATATAGAGTGTACATTAACCCACTTTACAATTTCTCTTCTATAAAATGTCCATCCATCTCAAAATGTTTGATACTATATTAAATTATGAGCAATGTTAATGACAAATTTATTATTACAGTATATCTTCATTGGTCATTCTCATTTGATTTTTAAATCTATCAAAATGATTTAAATGTGTATAGAAGCTCACAAATTCCTTGAACAATGACTCTTAATTTGAATTCATTGTTAGATCTTAAAAAATAGGTTGTTTCTTGCTCCATGTTATATGATTTTCTCCCAAAAATGTATATTATTAGTTGTGGATCTTCTATCCACATGTGATCCTACATTGCCTTTATCAATATGCCCTTTAAATTGTAAAATATATTGTTTTGTATAAAAGATTCTTGTATCACGATTAGATTTAATATATTGAAATTGCCTCTACAGCACTGAAGCGGCGCTAGAAATTGCCTCCGCAGCACTGAAGCCTCTGTTATAAAGTAATTCTGGATTCAACATTTTGTGATGGGTTGAAGCGCTATGGCACTAGGCCACTAATAGTAATTTTATATATTTTTTATTCTAATCCTAAGCACTAAAAGCTCTAGCATCCCCACCTCTCCCTCATTCTCGCATGGCTTGCTTGAGAAGGAAAGGGAGAGGAGAGAGAAGAAAAGAGAGGAAGCCATCTAAGGCTTTTCTGTCTGTCGCTGCTGTTATAAAAAGTGTTCTGATCATTGCAAGTGACATTCTCTTACATCTATTTCCGATGATTTTAATTTCTACAAAATTGTATCTCTCCTATGTTGGCCATTGAAAGAAAAGCAAAATAATAAGTTTAATGTTGTAGAGACGAGGATGCTTAGGTGGATGAGTGGCTTTACTCTTAAAGACATGATACGAAATGAGCATATACGTGAAAAGGTTGGAGTAGCTTCAGTGGAAGATAAGATTAGAGAGAGTCGCCTTAGATGATTTGGCCACATAAAACGGCGGCCTTCCGATGACCTGGTTAGAAAATAGATGTATTATATTTGACTTATATTAAGAAAGACAGGTAGACCTTAAAAGACTTAGTTAGAAAATCTTAGAAATGACATTTTTTTATTAGATTTAGATGAAAATGTGGCCCTTAACATGACATAATGGAGAAAAAAGATTCATGTAGCCGATCCCACATAGTGGCATAAAGGCATGTTATTGTTGATGTTGTTGTTGTAGATCTACCAAAAACACATTATCTCTTGATTCGTAAGCTTTCATCGTGTAACTTCTGATATGTTATATATTTCATTATTTTAAACGATTTGATATAATTTTATTGCATTTTCACTGATTAAATAGGTTTATAAGATTTCTTATGTAAAATGAGCAGGAAAAAAGTATACTGAAAATAGGTTGAAAAATAATGTGTTGTGATTTGATATTACAATACTGATATGTGATTCGGGTTGAAAATTGATGTGATTAAAATGTATTCATTGTACTGAATTGATACTGATCTGATAGAAATGATGTACTGACTAATATCAAATATACATGATATGATAACCCCATATGATACCCTCAAGATCCACGTGATTCACAGGATAAAAATATTGATGCAATTACTTTATAGATAACTAATTGATTGAGATAATTTAATGAATGATAAGATTGATTGATTAAACAAGATTGATTGAAAGGTAAAGACAAATGAGTGGTTGATTTACAGAACGAGATGTGACGTGTAATAAAACTGATAAATTGACACATGTTGACGGTACATATAGCATATATTGATTCATGGTGGTTCATAGATTTTCTTATATAATTTATAGCATATTATTTCTCTTTTTTCTAGCATTGATTTTAGTTAATTACTGAGCTTTTATACTCATTATGCGGTTGGACATGATTTCAGGTAAATGTAAGAAGCCTGCAATGTGAGGCTATTGCAAAATTATACTAGATTAGTTCTATTTTCAACTCTTTGATGTTAATTATATTCTTTTGTGGCCTGTGACGGCTAATATATGTATTGTTTTGAACTCTAACTATAGAATGTAAATATTTACTATAGAAATAGAATGATATTTTTTAGTTTTTTTATTTTCATTAATACAATTAATCATCTTTGGATGCCAAAGTAATCTAGTTATAAATGAAT